TGCTGTGGTAGGCATCCCACGTATAAAGTAGAGGAAGATTGGCATGGATGTTAGCTCAGGGCCAGTCTTCCTCAGCAAAAAGAGGAGGACTCGCAGTAGTTAGCTCAGGGCTAATCTTCCTCAAAAAAAAAAAAAAGATAAAGTAGATGTTATGTTAGCAGGGATTGGGAGTGGGGATGCATGTGCACAGCTTGCAATTTTAAATAGGGTGGCCAGGGAGGACGTCACTGAGAAGGTAAGATCTGAGGCAAGCCTTGAAGGAGGTGAGGAATCTAGGCATTTACCTGGAGGAAGAGAACTCTGGGCAGAAAGAATGGTGAGTCACAGACCCTGAGGTGGAGTGTGCTGGGAGTGGAGGGTACTAGAGTGAGGACGAGGAGGGGAGGTGGGGGGTGGGTCAGAGACATTGAGTGGAGGCCCAGTGTGCAGGGCCTGGTGACCTCTGAGGATTTTGTCCTTGACCCTGACTGGGACAGGAGCCCAGTCGACATGATTGGACTTACCTTTCCTCCAGACCCCCTGGCTGAGGCAGGGAGAACAGACTGCAGGGGGGAGGGCAGGAACAGGAGCCAGTGAGAGGCCTGGACCAGGGTGGTGGGGAGGGTGGGGGAAATGGTCAGATCTTGGATACACGGTAGTTTTCCCATGGAGCTGATGGATTGGATGTGGAGCAGGAGAGGGGGCAAGGCTTTGAAGACGACCCCCAAGCACTGGGGCCTGGCCTTGCTTGTGGAAACCTTCCCAGTTCCCTCATTCAGATCCTTGGCATTGCATTTTATACGTTCTCTTATAATCATTTGTCTCCTTTTTTTGGTCTCAGATATGCCTTTGGTAATCTGATGACAGTTATGGACTCTCTTCTCAGAAAAATACCCTTGTGCATTCAGTTGAATGGGTGTTCCCAGAGCCCCCTGCAGGCTATCCCTCATGTTAGGGACCCCTGCTAATGTGTGTTTGCTTGACTGAATGCAACATGAACCGGGGGCCAGAGTCGTTGAGTACAGCCTACAGGCAAGTTTGTTTCTGAATATACACTGAGTCAGACCTTTTGTTCAGCTCTCATTGCATCTGTAACAGCCACACAGTAAGTGCTTGGTAAATGTTGGCTGGAAAACAATGATGATAAACTTGGCACCTTACAAAGGATCTCACACCTTTGTGGGGGCCTTCAGTGTTAATGCCTCCACTTTATGAACAGGAAAAGAAGGCCTCAGCAGAGTGAAGTGTGGGAGAGGCAGTGCCTGGGGTCTGACCAGGGTTGTAACAAGGGTTAACCAAGTTAGTGCTCAGTCAGCCTGAGCAATGCTCGTCATAGAGCTGGACAGGGGTGAGGCTAAGACTGGAGCCCAGGACTCCAGGCTCCCATGCGATGTTCCCCCTGCTTCCTTGCAGTTCTGCCCTCCAGGAATTTATAACCCAGCTGGAGAATCAGTAAGAACAGGAAGGAAAAGGATCCTAAATTACTTCCACTTTTCTCCTAGTTCATCCTCAGAGCAACCTTGTGAGGTAGACCTTATTGGTATTCCCTTTTGCAGACAAGGAAACTGAGGCTCAGAGAAGGTGAGTAACAGAGTTCAGGGCTCACCCCCAAGTCTCCAAATCCCCAGGTAATTAGTAAGCAATATATCTAGTTAAATGCTAGCAACTTAGCACTTAATTATATACTGTTTCACACTGTATTGTATATAATTTAATACTAATTGCAGGGTTTCAGAATGAGCTGAAGTGAGCTGTGGGGGGGCGAGAATGGCAAGGAAGGCTTCCTGGAGACATTGGAAACTGAGCTGGGTCTTGGAGAGGATTTGGTGGAGGCTGGAGGAGGATGGAGCGGCTTTTGGGAAAAGGAAATAGAATGATGAAGGCATCAGGGTAGGAGTGAGCATGGTGGGGGTGGCGAGGGGCTAGGCTAGTGCCAGTATTTAAATAATGGAGTGCTAGGAACGCAAAGGGAACTAATGTTCATTGAGAACTTGGTAAGTGCCAGGTCCTGTGCTAAGTTCTCTCCACTGTGATATCCAATCCACATCTCACCCTCCAAGGGAAAGAATCCAACCCCGACAGCACTGTGACTACCTCCCTTTTACAGATAAGGAAACTCAGGGCAGTGTTGTGCTCAGGTCCTTCCTAGCTCAAGTTCAGAGGCCATCTGGTTAGAGGTGGGCGTGCTGTGAGTGGTGGCTAATAAAGCCGGCTAGTTTGGGGCCTCGCTACTCAAGGTGTGGCCCACAGGCATCACCGGGGAACTTGTTAGAAATGCAGGCTCAGGGGCCCTCCCCAATCCACCTGAATCAGAACCTGCATTTCAACACAATGTCAGGTGATTTGTGTGCACATTAGCGTTTGAGAAGCCCCGGGCTGGTGAACAGTATGGCTGAACATATGCCTGTGCTCTTCAAGGGTTCCTGATGACATCTCCCTCCCGGCAGAGGCGAAGGAATGCGTTCCCAGAGGATGTGACGTGAAAGCCCGGGGCAGCCCACCACAAGCTGAGACCTCTTTGAAGTCTCATATTTCATCTAAAAATGTCATTGACTGTTTCATTCCACACCGTAATATATCACTGGTCATTTTAATCTTTCAGAATGGTTGTATAAATTGCCATGGAGCAGGATCTGTGTTCCCGGGAGATGCATGGGATGGGTTTCCTTGTATCTTAAATGGGGTGATAATAACCACTTCTAGGGCTGCTGTGAAGATCAAAGGAGGATCATGTATATGGAAACGCTATGTAAACTGTCTGCATGATACATGTTTTGTTATTCTGGAAGGAGCTGAAAATCCTCCCCAGACCCAGTGTCCTGCAACCAGTACTATGGACAGCTAAAGCTGCACCTGCCTTTCTCGCATTCAGGGTGAGGGGGGGCTCCATCCCAGGGAGGACAGTGACCTCTCTGGGCATCTTAGGAAGCCAGGGAAATAAGAGAATAGGGACAGCTGTGGTTAGTTTGTTTAAATTTCTTATTTCATAATATCGCCCTTTCTTATTATTCCCCACTTCCTGGTTCTTTGGCCAGATTAGCCAGCAGGAAAAGCCTGTAAGAGGCAGGAGAGAAGATGGGAGTACTGCATCCTGGCCCCAAGCGGGCCTAGAAAGAGAGGAAGATGGGAGGAAAAGTGGGGGTGACAGGGAAAGAGGTAAGCAGATGGCAACAACCTGGAGTCCTACAGGAAGAGGGAAGGGGAAGGGGAAGTGGGCTGTCAGCCCTGGGCCGGGAGTGACTCTCTGGGTTCCCCGTCCAGGGGGCCACTTCCTTGTGATGGGAAGTGAAGACAGAGGGAGAGAGACCCAGAGAGGTGAGATGGACAGAGACAATGACCATCCACATCTGAGGCCAAAGGAGCAAGGGTAGCCAGAGAAGGCACAGGCAGAGAGCTGGGAGGGAAGGGAGGCTCATTCAGAACTGCAGAAGATGGTGGAGGAGAATTTGGGGAGGGGTGGGTGGTCAGCAGTTCCCCAAGGCCTGGAGCAATTGAAAAAGATGAAGACAGGAAGAGCTAGCGTATTTGGTTAAGGAGGTTATGAGTCACCCTTGCTAGGATTCTGGTAGAACACTGGGATTAAAGCCAGATTTTGAGAAATTAAGAAGAGAAGATGGAGATTCTTTTTTTTCTCTTCTCCCCATGATAATTGTTAGGATTTTCACACAAACTGCATTTCTATTACAAATGTCTTACTTGCCATTTAAAACTTAATCCCTGTAAGTTGTGACTAGAACCAAGTTGATATTATCTCTTTAATCCATTCCTTGGCAAAAACTTATTTAAGAAACATAGAAAACGACAAAGTATTGTTTATACTATGATCCTATTTTTGTTTAAAAGAATGTGTGTGTATATTTATAAATATGTATAAATGTATATTATAAACAAAGACAAACATTTAGAGGAATATATATCAAACTATAATGGGAGTTTTACTGGTATATACTTATATCACTTAAATATAGGTAGTTTATTATACATAAAGCTGTAAAAAATTTTATTAGGGGTTATCTCTAATGGTTGGATTATGGTATATGACACATAATTCTTTTGGCTGCAAATGACAGAAACTCAGCTGCAACCTCTAAAGCAATAACTAAATTGTTCATATACTTCTTCAGGAGTGAGCGGATCCAGGGGCTCAAATTATGTCATTAGGAGTCTCTGTCTCCACCTCTCGGATCTGCTGCCTTTTTTATTGCCTTCGTTCTCCGGCAGTTCCAGGCCTACATCTCAGCAGCTTAGCCCCCCAGTGGAAAGAGAGCAGCTTTTTTCCCAAGAGTATCAGCAAAGTCCCAGGACTGACTTTCAATGGCCTGGCTTGAGTCATGGCTCATCCCTGGACCAGTGAATCTTTGTGCCTAGGGAAATTGATTGGCAAGGCCAAGGCTAAGGTCATGTGACCCAAGAGGAGAACAAAGGACCTTTCATGGGCATCTAAGGAAGCCAGAGACCTGAAAGAAGGGGCTGAATGGTTCCCCAAAGTAAATCCAGAGCCCTCTTGCCAGAAGAGGAGGTGCAAAGCCACAAGTATCTGCTCTAAAGGGGCCTTCAGTCTCTGGGTCATATATTTTTGTAATGACTGAATTGTTTTAAAAAGCGTGCATTTCTCTTGCAATGGCAAGAGAAAAATGAGATCCCCTCCTAAACAACTGATTTGAGTTGCATCTGGTTATGACAATTGAGATAACTAAATAATGAGTGTGGAGAAAACAGTAAGCCCAAATCTGGTTGGAGCCCTTGATTTTATAGGGCATGGGAGGAGCAAACAGTGGCACAACTGGGGAATCGACCTTCTCCTTTTCATAGATTGTTAGTTGTATATGATCAAGACCCACTGGGCCATCAGACAATCTCTGGGGCTCTGGGTCACCAGAGTGACGCGCCCAGGGAGCTGGGCCTTCATCAAGGTCAGCCTCCGCCTCTTGGCCTCCTGCGCACTGTGTGCCGCCGTGCCCTGGCCTCAGTAAGTGCTTCCCTGCATTCCGATATCACACTGCTCTGTTTCTTCATTTCAGGGTTACACTAAGGACATGGTGACAGACTTTGATGAGAAACATGATGAGTATTTAATATTACTTCAGCAGAGGAACCGGTAAGATGAAGCCGCTCGACGGCAGCCCTTAATATTAGCCAAATAAAAATCCTATTTAGATTTATTAACAGCATGCAGGCTCTGTTTCACATAGGGATGGGGTGCAGTCAGCCTCCACTCAGACGCTTGGGATATTATCTGCAGTCCCAGCTCCTATTTCTCCATTCACTGATTTAATTGCATCTTTTGATTGAGCTGTAGCAAACTGTTCGACGTCTAAGTACCACCTCTCGCCTCCCTGCGTCTCTTCTGGGAGAAGGTGGGTTTGTCATGAAAAGCTAGAATTTGGCAGGGTTTGTGCATGAGTCACCTGAATAGCCCAGTCTGATTTTACAGACTTCACTGGCCCCTTGAAATCTGAGCCTGTAATCATGCCTTATTATGTAAAGGTGGAGTCCTTTTATATTTGCGTTTGAGATTGGTCAATATGTCGTTTAAGGTTGTTAGTACTGATTTTGACTCTGGAGTGCTGGTTCTTGAGAAAGCCTGCAGTAGATGCAATATTTAGTGACCAAGGTCAAAGCATTGTGGTCTGGTTTGAAAGAGGCATCATGTCCTCAGTGCCTTTGCAGGGCTGTGAAGGTCACTTTCAGCTCACTGTGGTTTGTCTGCAGGCCCAGAACCTCTCAGGAAGCTGGAATTCTCATGCCCAAGCTACTTAACTCAGGCCAGTTCTTGTTTGTAGCAACACGGGCCCAGGGGTCCATATTCTCCACGGTTGCCGGAGAAACTAGAAATCTGGATCTGTGGTGTGAAATCTCCTGAGTTTTAAAATGTTGGTAATTAATTCAAATTAAAGCACAAAACAAATGGAAGAATGCTGCAGGCCCCTAAAACAGACCTGCAGGAGGGGAGTAGGGGCACTAATTTGGACCTCTATGTTATGGAAATGAGCTTGGGGTCGTTGTCCTGCATGTGGATTCAGCCCTTGTTTGACTGGCTAGGCTCCCACTGCTTGTCAGCTGGGGCCCTGGTGGCATGTTGCATGGGGCAGGTTTTTATGGTGCGGGATTGTCCCACGTGTAGGAGTTTAGCATCCCTGCCTCCTGGCCCATTTACTGAATTCCACTGAGACCCCCAGTATCTATGACAACAACTCCTGCCCACGTTCCAGATGCCCCCTAGTGAGGCAGTCCCACCCCTAGTGGAGAACCTCTGAATAGATTAACTCTCCAGGACCAGCCAGAAATGCCAGGTAGTGTCCTCTGTGCCCAGCTGCTCTGCGCTCTTCTCCCTCCATCACAGGGGTGACCTCAAACTAGAATAGTTGAAGGCCTGTGCTGATTAGACTAACATGGGTTTTTACCATCATTAATGCCACAGAGAAGGATGTTTTCATTCAGTTTCTGGCGGGCTGGATGGTGCCACCAAACACCTGGGTGATCGTTTAATCATATACATGCGACTTGTCTGGGAGGAGAGTGTCAGAGTTCCTTATGAGCAAATTGCTTCTCATTAATCAAGGGATCAATAAGTATGTGATCAAAGAGGTACCAGCTGATAGCATATATGAGAATATCCAGAGACAAGGTTGCAGCACAAAGGCAATTAAAAAATATATCAAAACTGAGTTGCCATAAAATTGGGGAGCCATGTTCTCACCGAGAGGGAGCTGGCTTGGTGACAGGAAATTAGAAGGTAGAGCTAGAAAGCAACACCTCCAAATGGAGACAGATGAAGAGTGGGGGTGCCCCCGAGCTATCGTCAGGTTGAGCCTGAAGGGCACTTGTTTTGGCGTGCCAGCCACATGCCAGGCATCTGGCTCCATTGTTTCATTTTATCTGCACGCTACCTGAAGAGGCGGGACAGTTTCTGCACCCATTTTACAGACAGGGAAGCAGAGTCCCAGAGCAGGGAGCAGTTGCCCAAGGCCATGCATTCAGGAAGTGGTGGAGCTGGCCTGTCCTTTCTTATTTGTGTTTTGATTGACATGTCATAAGTAAACAAGAGGAGAGAAACCTGCCAGGGTTGCCAGTGGCTCTAAAGTTCATGAAGGAGGGGTTTTATGGGAATAAATTGCAGTTTACTTGGAGATCTCTGTGAATTATATGACCAGGCTGAAAACCAGCCCTGAGCTGTACACTGAGCAGATGAAAAGGAGGGGGATGAAAACCAGGCTGCTTATCTGAGTTGCCTTGTGACTCGAGAAGGGGGTGTTCAATCATCGGGGCGAGTTCTTAGGGGACATCTGCCTAGAATGCAGCTGCCCACAAGATGCTGGGTGATGTTATCCTTTTATTCATTCAGTAGGATTTCATTGAGTACCTTCTCAGTGCGTAGCATTACCACTAGTGTGAAGGAGAACATTGTGATGAGGAAGGCACAAACTGTTGGTTAGTGTTCCTTTGGTTGAAAGGGACAGAAACCCAAGGTAAATGGATTTTAAGCAACAAGGAAAATTACTGAAATCCTGGATGATACTCTGGCTTCAGGTATAGCTGGATCCTGGTGCTCAAATTACGTCACTGAAATCAGTCATTCTTCTTCTCCAAGCTGTTTTCCCATGTTGGATTCTTCTCAGGCAAGGACTTCCCTCACAGTGGCCAAGGCAGCCACTGGAAACCCCACAGTTACATCCTAGTCTGAGGGAGGATAGCACTTCTTTCCTAATAGTTCTAGCAAAAGTGTTGAGGAGGGCTCCCGGTGGCCTGGCTGGGCCCCGTTCCAATCCCTGAGCCAGTCACCCGCTGTGCCTGGTGAGGTGACATGGGCTGGCTGGCTGCTCCTCGGCCACCTCATTTAGCTGGGCAGTGGCATCAGTCTTACCCAAACACGTGAGTAAGAGAAGGAGTAGAGCAGTGCCCAGAGGGAATCCGAGGGGCCATGTTTGGACATGGGGGAGAGTTGCTGGGTAGGCAAAAAGAACAGGAGTCCACCATACCGCCCTTGCCCTCAAGGAACTCCCCGACAGTGGCAGGTGAGCACAGGGCCACCTATGACTTTATGCCAGAAGAAGCAGAAAGTGATCATGTGCTCTAAGCGAGGACCTGGAAAGGGTAGGGGGAGGCTCTGGGGGCGTGGCAGCCCCAGTTCACCCTATACAAACCCTCCCAGAGGATGCTCAGTGATTCTGCTCACTCAGCTTCGTGAAAGATGTAATCGTGCCCGACAGGACTCATGCAAGAGCAACTGGAGTGATCAAGGGGCTGAGGTGTGAGGATTGACTACAAAGATTAGGGCCCTGCGTCTGAAGAGCTGTCGGCCAAGAGCGGCTGTGGTACCAACCTCCAGATTGTGGAGGGTGGGCTAGATCGAAGAATCCAGCAATGGTATTATTTGTTTTTTGAAAAAGGTCATTTGAGGGAAACTTAAAAATATGTCCATAAGAGAGGTGAACCCTCTGCCCCTGGAGGAGATTCAGGCAGAAAGAAGGAAGGGGAGAACCAGCATCCCATGGGGGCCTCACCCAGGCCACCCTCTGAGCTGCAGCTTCAACCTGTATCCCATTCCGTCCTCGTGACAACCCACGGAGGGCTGGGCATTCTTGGTCTCGTTTCACGGAAGAGGAAATAGGCTGTGGGAGGTTTAGGGACTTGCCCAAGGTTGTACAAGCTGGGAAAAGGGCAGAGCCTCCAGTGTGGAGCTTTGTCCTCCACACTGCACCCTCCAGCTGTACAGATGGGGGTGGTGACATCCTAGAGGACAAATGCCAGAGCCCATGGGCCGCCAGGTACCAGGAAGAATGGCAAGGCTTTTTGTGCCACTGCCCTCTGCCTCTCCGTCCTTCAAGGCGGGACTCAAATGCCACCCCCTCCTCTGAACTCTCCTTGCTCAGAGCCCTTGTGGTATGTTGCTTGGCAAGGAAACAGAAAACAGCAGAATGGAGCAGCTGGGAGACAGGCTCTAGAGCCTTGTGGACCAGAATTTAAATCCTGGCTGCTTCCTTGGCTCTCTGACCTTGGGCAAGTTCATTGATAGAACAGGCCAATGGTAGGACCTAAATCCTAGGCCCAGTGAAGGATTGAGCAAGACCAAGTATTTGAAGGTCCACAGTAAGCCCACCACCCAAGTCCGCTTTCTTCACCGTCATCATTGCCATCATTTTAGTGTTAATCATGCCTTCCTCCTGAGCTGACGTCCGGATTATCCTTGAATTCCTGACCCTTAGAGAGCCCCTCAGTTGACCCTTGGGGTGACTGATGTCTGGAGGAGCCATGTGGCTAGCCCACAGTCACACAGCAACCATAGTGCTCAGACACTGAGATAGTTGAGTCGTAAACCCAGTCACTGTTAGGCCATGAGCAACGCGCCGCCCACTGTGAGCTCGGCTTCGTCCTACCACCACGTGGGTCCCTGCTTGTGCCCCCACCACCCAGCCCTCAAGTATGTCATATCCCCTGTCACACTCCCTCATGATACCCTGTGCTCTAATTCAGTGCCTCCACTTCCTCTTCTGTGCAAAAGAGCTCTCTGTGCAAGTGACCCCAAAGGCCAATATGGGATAGAACAGAAGTGATGCCTGCAGTGTGCATTAGGTATGTGATGGCTGCATTAGGATGCACATCCGTGTCTTCCCTCCCCTGCTAGACCTCGAGTTCCTTGGGGCCACTTGTTCCGGAAGTAGGTATGCAGAGTGTTCCTCGCTGGTCCTTGCACTCAGTGTAGACCCCATGCCCAGGGGCTCAGATTCTAGTGGGGAGGGAGGGAAGTAAACAGATAACAGATACTAGACTGTAGTGTGAGGCAGAGAGACACGTGCTGCAAAACAGAAAACAACAGAGTATGACAGGGCTGCAGGTGGGCGGGGCTCCTTTTCCTCCCAGTCAGGGATGAATCCGAGTTTTCTGAATCCCCTACGCCTAGGGCAGCTTTTTATGCAAAGTAGGCTATCAATTAAAAAAAACCCACTTTGATGGCACGTGAATTTACTGATGCGCTCAGCTGCAGTAGGGGAGTTCCTTTAGCGATTCCTTTCAGAGTCTAAATAATTATCTCCTTGTTTATCAATTTCATAAATCCACATTTTCGTAGATCATTGGGCTTAAAGAGCGGCGCACGTGGAGTGCCAGCCCCGGATCCTGGGTGGCGGGCTGCCACGTAGCGTCAGGAGACAGGGCAGTCTCTGGAGGGAGGCTGAGGCAGGCGCTCTCTGCCTGGGTGGTCAGATTTTCCACCCACCGCCTGCCTCGGGGCCTCCAGGGCTCTGGGCTCCCTGCTCTCTCCCTGGAGACTGCTGGGCCCACTGCGCCGCCCTGATTGTTTGCTCCAGTGAGTGCAGCTATGACTGTGTTTGGAAATTGTCTCTTAGTTACTTGTGTTTTCCTTCTGTTTTGTGCTGTTGCCCAACAATCAGGCGTCTCTGGGGCTTCCGAGCCTGGCAAGAGATAAGTAGTCTGTAATAAATGTTCCTGTCATGATTTTTGAAAAGATGGATGTATCATTAGCTAAAGAAACATTTAAAAAGCAAACAAAGAGATCCCTCGTAACAGCAGCACCCTACCTCAACACTTGATTTAGTGTTCACATTCATCTTCTTCCACTCCGTGTCCACAAACACACTTTTTCCAACTTTGCATTTACCACACATGTACCATTTCTGTTCTGCCTTTTTCATCCCCCACTGAACAGATCACAAACAATCCCCAGTGTTTCAGCAGACTCTTCATAGTTATAATGGCTGTGGGAGATCCCAGGTTCCACTTCCCCAGTGGTGGACATTTGGATTGCTTTCAGGGTCTGTAATAACCAAACGCTGACCGTTGTTCCTAATCAGGAACAACTTGCTGGAGTGTGCTTACTGCGCAAAGACCAAGCATATGGCATTTCATATATTTTTATATTTCTTCTGAGAAGGTTCTGTGCATTACCAGCAATGTCTGAGTTTGCTGATTTCAACATCATCTTTCTAGCTTTAGAAGTTGTCTTTGTTGTGGTGAAGACTCTGGAGCCCAATTGCTTAAGTTTGCATCCTAGCCCTGCCACTGTTATAGCTCTGTGACCTTGGGCAAGTTACTTAACCCCTCTGTGCCTCAGTTTCCTTATCTATTAAATGGGGATAATACAAGTAATTGCCCTATAAGGTTGTTGTAAAGATTAACATCTTAATACAGTCAAGCCTTATTATTCATAGATTCCACATTTGCAAATTCACCTACTCACTAAAATTTATTTGTAACTGCAGAATCAATACTTGCAGTGCTCTGGTGAGCCTTCAAACATGTGTGCAGAGTGGCAGACAATTTGAGTTGCCTGACACGCATTCCCAGCTGAGGTAGAACCGGAGAAGACTCTGCCTTCTTGTTTCAGCTCTCATACCGCAAACAAGTGTCCTCTTTGTGGTCTACTTAGTGCCATGTATATCTTCTTGTGCTTTTTGTTAGTGATTTTGCTGTTTAATGTGGCCCCCCAGCATAGTGCTGAAGTGCTGTCTAGTGTTCCTAAGCGCAAGAGGGCTGAGGTGTCCCTTACAGAGAAAATACGTGTGTTGGATGAGCTTCACTCAGGCGTGAGTGCCGATGCTGCTGGCCGTGAGTCTGTTAATGTACCAGCTATGTATTCAGTCAGGTGCCTTTAAACAGAAGCACACATGAAGCAAGGCTCTGTATTGATCAGGTGATGAAAGTGTCGTGACCAGGGGCTCAAAGGAACCAACTCCTGTATTTCTCCCTAGGACCCATGGCTCAGTGTTCACTAGTTCAGTGTTTGCGGCAACTTTGTAGCACATAACTACCGCGAATAACGAGACTTGATTATATGTAAAGCATTTATTTATTTATTTATTTATTCATTGATTTTTAAAGATTTGTTGTTTTTCCTTTTTCTCCCCAAAGCCCCTTGGTACATAGTTGTATATTCTTAGTTATGGGTCCTTCTGGTTGTGGCATGTTGGACGCCGCCTCAGTGCCATGTCCACACCCAGGATCCGAACCAGCGAAACCCTGCGCTGCCGCAGTGGAGCGCGTGAACTTAACCTCTCGGCCATGGGGCCGGCCTCCTGTAAAGCATTTAGAACAGAGTTTGGTACACTGTATACACCCTTATGTGATTACTATCACTATTATTTTTAAAATTTCCACTTTGGTAATTTGGTAGGAACTTATTTAATCACTGAAGAGGATGCACGCTTGTTGCCATGGTGGTTGGTTGTCTGTCTTTCTTCCTGTGTGGGGATAAATCTAGCCAATGCAGGGGTGCGGAAGGGTGTCGGTAGAGAACCGAAGGGCTTCGTGTCAGATGGGAGCAGCACTGCAGGGGCCAGAGAAGACACTGTGAGCTGTCTGTGGTGATGCGGTTTCAGGAGTAGGGAGAGGACCAGGCCCTGTGTGAGGTGGGCTTTAGAGAAAGCTGAACTAGGGACCTGCCATGCTCAGGCCAACACCTGTTCAGCCAAAGGATGTGATAATCGTATCATTAATCTTAACAAATCTTGCATTGGTATGTTTTTAACTGCATCAGAGGATAAAATGACAGCATTTGAGATGTCAGGGGTGAGTGTCTGAGGACACGTTTATTTACCAAAGCAAAAAGTCAGCGTACTGCTCCGACGAAGGATGCTTTCTGATTTACAGGTGTGTTATATGAGATCTCTCTCACAAAGACTGAGACCCTAAACCACGCTTTGTTACACATTGACCAGAGCCGCTATGCCCACAAAGTAGAAAAGCTCGAAATCAGGCTTGTCCCCGGAAGTCCAGGCCGTGTGGCAGCAGTGCACACACATGCCTGCTTTCTGTCCCAGCCACGACGCGGCAAGGACTGGTGCCTGCCTTGTACAAATGTGCATTTGAGCCTCAGAATGAAAGCAGAAAGACCCCTCAGGGCCCGCAGCAGTCTCCCTCGCTGCTTCTCCGTGTGCATAATGGGCCCCTTAGAGGCTGTTTGTAGAGAACAGCGGGGCATCCGCCCCAGCCTCTGATTAGAGATGCTTCCCCATCAGAGCTGCAGTTGTGTCTCCCAGGTCGGGTGGGGTGGGCCGTGGCCCGGGCTCACATGTTGAGGAGAAAGCCACCATTTCTCTCCCAGGATATTAAAGCATTTGAGAACCAAGGACCCCATGCAGCTGAGACTGGAGCACTTGGAGCAGGGGTTCTCTGTCTACGTCAATGGGGCCAATTCTGAACTGAAGACGACGCCGCGGAAAGCCATCCATGCCGACTTCTCCAGAAGTGCCTCCCACGCTGAGGGCACACACGGTGAGCGCAGGCCCTTCCAGGCCAAGCAGCAGCTCTGTTCATTAATTGTGATGATGTGGGGCCACATCCTGTGCACGTAAACTTACCGGCAAGTAACTAGTTAACCTGTACAAGTTAACTAAACTTACCAGCAAGTAACTAGTTAACCTGTACAAGTTAACTATACCCACTTGGCCAGAAAGAGAGCATGAGAGTGAGAAAGAGAGAGAGAAATCCTTTTTTATTCCTTTTTAAACCAGTTTTGGCCTCTACTACCCCAGGGCAAAGCTGGCTGGGGCAGTGAATTCCTGACTTTTGTGTCTTCTAGGTCTCAAGTGCCAGTAATTTAGGGACATGTCTAGGATAATTTTGATTAGACCTCACATCTTAACTTCAGTCCTTAACCCTGTGTGATACTTGATTCCACTGTTCATTTCTGGATTCAGTTAATCCACACTCTTCATTGTTTAGGCGGATTTCGTGTATCCTGTAATAAAAGCACCAAAAGTCTGTGCAGTGTAATAGAAAGCGCCCAGCCCAGTGGCCGGCCTGATATAGGGCCATTAAGTGGTTGAATGAATGAAATGGCAGAGCTCGTGGAGTCAGGTCCCCATTTGGTCATGTTACTTTGGGGAAGCCATTTTGTCTCTCTATGCTCCGTTTCCTCCTCTTTAAAATGGGACTAATGAGGGTGCCTGTCCCCAGGATGCCAGAGTGACCTTCAAGGCAGGCCACTGTGTCTGAGAGGCCAGTGTGCTACCAGGTTACAAGAGGATTTGGAACGAGGCAGAGCTGGGTTCCAACCTTGTTCTCTCACTTTCTAGCTTTGAGAGCTCTGGCAATTGGGTCCTCTCTGACCCTCAGTTTCCTCTTCTGTAAAATGGGAATAATTATGGCTACCTTGTCAGCTTTCCAGGAAGACTAAATGACATAAGAAATGTAAAGCATCTGGTGCACAATAATCTTGATTTGTGTTGTTCTAATTCATTGCTTCACAGGCATGGTAAGATCCTAGGCAATTAATAGACAGTAAAAGGCAAAACAACAACAGAGGGATAAAGAGACAAAATGATGTCCCAAAACCTTCCTCTAGGAGAGCCACAGCAGTTCAGCTTAGAATTTAGCTTGAGTTTCCTAGCCCCCAGCGCAAAGAGGGAAATCGAATGACTGTCCTAGCTTTCATGGAGGAGGAGTCGGCCAACCTGCTTCTGGTTAGGAGAAGCAGGCCTTTGCTGGTCCCGGTTTCGGAGGGGGCAAATAACAGGAGTCTCTGTTCTTGGGCCACCAGCAGTATGTTACTCAGTCAGCAAATATCCCTCTGCTCTCCTGTCTTTTACACAAATGCTGGCCTGTTGTGCACACTGTCCTGTTCCCTGCTTCTGTATCTCAGTGGCTGTTCCTTTTGTACGTAGACCTGCCCGGCTCAGCTGTACGTTATTACACCTCTCATTCCATAGCATGGAGGTGCTGAGCCTTACTCCCCATGCCTCTTTTGTTGGGCATTGAGCTTGTTTTCTTTTTTTTTTTTTTTAAAGATTGGCACCTTAGCTAACAACTGTTGCCAATCTTCCTTTTTTTTTTCTTTTTCTCTCCAAATCCCCCCAGTACATAGTTGTATATTTTAGTTGTCCTTCTAGTTGTGGCATGTGGGGTGCCGCCTCACTGTGGCCTTATGAGCGGTGCCATGTCCGCACCCAAGGTCCGAACCAGCAAAACCCTGGGCCGCTGAAGCGGAGCACACAGACTCAACCACTCAGCCACGGGGCCAGCACCTGGCTTGTTTTCTAATGCCTGGCTGCCACAAATGGCATCATACTGAGTAGCTTCTTGTGGACGACTTTGGGCACATCGGCATGCATTTTAGATGTAAGTTAGGAAACTACCCTGAGTGTGAGCTTGTTATCGGCACCTCACCAAGTCTCCTCTCTCATCTCTGGTGCAGATGGTGGACGAAGAACCCTGTTTCAAGAAGCTGAAGAAGCTTTAAGACGCAGTTCACGGACAGCTCCCAGCAAAGTCCAGCGCCGAGGATGGCACCAGGTCTGGAAACCCTGGGCAGAGTCAAGATGATGGCCCAGCTCATGCTTTAGAATCAGGAGCAGTACTGTGGGAATCCCCATGGGCAGGGTCTGGGTCTGGCTGGGCACTGCAGTGGGGCCCTCTCTGTATGGCACAGGCCTCTAGACAGTGGAGGAGCCCTTGGGAGCCTCCAGCCCTCTCCCTGCAGCATGGTCCTCCCTTCTTGATAGGGCTGGCCCAGCCCCACTCAGGAGAGTCCAAGGGCAGACTCACAGGCTGGTCGTGATGACTCATTCATCCTGCTGGTTTTTATTAAGGACCTACTATATGCCAGGCACGGGCTTAGATGCCAGGGATTCAGTGGATGAATAAGACAAAGCCCCTGCCCCACGGACCTGAGATGCCACTTTGGGTTACTGCTGATGCCAGCAGCTTGCATTTTTGAGCACGCACCAGGCACCAGGCATGGGCTGAGCTCCCACTTGACTCCTCTCCTTTGCCCTCACAGCAGACCCATAGGGTAAGTTCCAGTGTCCTCCCACTTTTAAGGGTGCTGAGGAGATGGATGCTTAGAAAAGTTAAGGGAGCTTTTCAAGGTCAACAGCTAAGAAGTGGCCGAATCAAGACTCAAACCCAGATCTTTTGCTCCAAGCTTAGTGTTCTCGCCGGTATGGTCCTAATGCCTTACCTTGCAGTCACTCGTCCCTTGCCTGGGACAGTGGGACTCAGCCCCACTGCACGTTCAGCTTGCCTGGAGAGGCTTAAAATACCAGCGCTCAGGCCCTGCCCCCGAGGAATGTGACTTGCTTGGTCTAAGGTGAGGTTAAGCAGTGGTGTATATATTCTTTCTAATGCTGTGTTCCCCAAGCTTGGAAGTAGTGCCTTTGAGCATTTTGCACTGTACCAGATGTCTGGGTCTACAGTAAATGCTTTCCTATGCTTTTTCAGCCCGTCTTTCCAATAACCCTGTAGGTCCATAAGTATCCTCACTATACTCCTGAGGAAATTGGGGCCCAGAAAGTTAGGGTGACTTGCTCAGAGTCATCTAGCTACTGAGGAAGGAGTGTAGGCTGAGATTTGAACCATGGACCTGTGACTCCAAACCCAGTGGTCTTCTGCTTCTCTGCAGGGGCATTTGTGGATTAAATGGGGAGGGTCTTCCCTCCAGCTAACTCCCAAAGCCTTCTCTCAGTGCTGAGGAGCCAGGCCTGCAGGGCACACAGCCTAGGGGCCTCCTTTTGTCCCCAGCAATGAATGTTAATTTCTCATTAATGAGGCTTTGCTCCGCTTTCTCACTTCAGACAGTCCTTCTAGTTGTTTTGAGTGCCTTCTATTATCAGGAGCCATATTTGTATCTTAGACTGTGACTTAACAGCTGGCCCCAGAGTCTGTGCAATTTAAAAGACTTGGCCTAAAATTAATTAGCATCCCTCCCCCAGTCTCTCCCTGTGGTCCCACACTTCACAAGGCCTAATCACGGCTAATTTCCTGGCTTCCTGAGGCCATGAAGGCTGTAATTGTCCTTCTGCACTGTATCAGTCAGGGGTCAGTTGGTACCTAACAACAGAGACCTCTCAGGCTATTTTAATCAGAAAGGAAGTAATGCAGGGCATCAGGGGCTTATCAAATCCTTGGGCTGCTGAGAGGATGGGCTCTGAGCTGGGCCTCCAGGAATGGCACCCAGCATCCTAGCATGGGCCCGCTGGGAGAGCTGCTACACACAGTGGGGAAGGTGGAGGATGAGCCTCAGGAATTCATCACCTTAGCTGCAGTCCAGGTTCAGGAAGCTACTGGACAATGGTTGGCTTCAGAGTGACGCTGTGCCTGCTAGGGCCAACTCTGTGAAGAAGGACCCTGCCCATAGCCCGTCCAGTCAGGGTGGGACATTGTTGAAAAACCCGCTGTGCTCAGCACAGAAACAGCCAACATGAGTCCCCACCCGCCCCTCGCTTCTGCTTTCTCTGTCCATGAGGCCATCTGATGGGCAGCACCTAAGTCGCATCTAGAACCCCAGCTGAGGGGGAGTCTGGGAAAAACAGTGTCTGGCTTTCCAGCCTCTACAGAAAGGCAACCTAGGAGGAGAGTGGAATGGGTGCTGGGGGTCAACTCACTCCCCCCCCCCCCCACCCCCCCGCCACATCAACTCTGCTCCACCCACGTGCGCTCCTTTGGGGAGCATTCAGAAGTGGTGAGTGGACTAGAAGCCATGTCATGAGAGAAATCATCCATTAATTTAACACACATTTATTACCATGGGCCAGGCACTGTTCAAGGCTGGGGTTAAAAACAAAAAAAATCTAATAAGGCTGAGTTCCTGCCATGGAAGATCCTGTGATGACATGGGAGCTGCGTAACCTGGGAGGAGCATGCAACAGCTGTTCCCAAACATTAGGAGCACCAGCCTGGTGGAGTCCAAAAGTTAACAACTTGAAGCATGTGGGCCAAACTTGTACCCCAAATAATGTTTTTTGGACTCACTGGTTAAAGCCTTAGTCACTTGTTAACATTTAAATTCAAAAGATTTTATAGATTTTTTTTTAAAAGTTCTAGATTCCTACCTCTCTGGAAAAATGGAAAGATCTGGCCCCCACGCTGGCTGCCCTCCCGTAAGGCGGCCACTAGCAGTTGCTGAGGAGCAGTTGCCCCCTTTAGACAGGGCACAGGGCTTCCTGTTCGCCACAGGCACCACTACTCCCTTCAGAGCCCGAAGCTGAGGCCGAGTGGCAGTTGCAGTTTGTTACCATGCTTGGGCTACTGTTTCTCTTACACTCAGATGGCTCCCCACCTTTCCATTTCTCATCAGACTCACCGGGGCGTTTGAACCTGTGGCCCCTGGAGAGTGGAAGAGAATGAACTCTGGAGTCAGACAAACGACCTCCGAGCTGTGCGCCCTGGAACTGGCAATGTGACCTCTCACAGCTTTGGGTTCATCAGCAGTGAAACCTAGGGCTGCTGGGTAGGGATGTGTGCATGATGTGTGTCACAGGTGTCCATCAGCAGGGGTTGTCTGCTTCTTCAGGTTGGAGCACCTGGCAGCAGGTGACAGAGAAGTCCCGAGAAATGGCTAAGAGCACAGGTTCCAGAACCCAGCAGCCTGGGTTCAAAGGCTCAGCTCCACCACTTACCAGCTGTACGGTCTTGGATAAGTTGCTAACCCTCTCAGTGCCTGTTTTCTCACCTGTAAAGTGGGATTGATAATGGTACCTGCCTGGTAGGGTAGTGAGTGAGGACTGAGTGAGCCAGTGTCAGTAGAGCGTTTCATGCAGTGTCTGGCACAGAGGAAGCAGTCGGTAAACGGTCACGGCCACAGCCACTGCAGTCAGGGGAGGGAGGGGCAGATGCTGAGGGTGGCTCTCCTGGAGGCCTCAGGGCTCTTCCTCTCGTGTGCTCCTTCACTCATTCCATCCTTTGTTCACTCCGTGACCGTTGACTGAGTGTCTGCAGAGTTCTGGACACATCCAGGTGCTGGGGTCAGAGCAGTGCGTGAGGCAAGCCAGGCCCTGCTCTCCTGGAGCTCACGTTTACGGGGCGTGGGTGGGGAGGCAAAGGACCAGAAGCAAGCAAGCAAGCAAGTAAATAAACAAGCACTCTGAGGGAGAGGAAAGAGTGGAAGGACGTGGACAGTGTCTGGGGAAGACTGGTCTAGAGAAGGTGGGCAGCAAAGGCTCCCGCAGGGCCACCTCTGAGCTGACACCTGAAGATGAGTGGGAGCCAGCCCCAGGAAGATCCGGCGGGAGCGTCTCCCAGTGTGGGGCACCGCGAGGGCAACAGGAAACGGGATCAGGCTGAAAGGAGGCTGGGGTGGCTGTGCATGCTGGTGGAGAGGGCAGGCGTGGGGGCCGGGGGTCACCTGTTGGGGAGCCAGATTGCACAGGGCCTGGAAGACCCCAGGAAGGAGTTTGCATTTCATTTTAAGCGTGAGGAATCTTCTGGAGGGTTTTCAACAAGAGAGTTACATGTCTGGGTTCCTGTTGTGGAAAACTTCCCCAGCTGCTGTGTGCAGAGGGTCTGCCAAGAGGGCCCAGTGGCTCCCAGAGGCTTGGAAGTGGGGCTATTGCAGGGCTTCCGGGGAGCCTGCTCAGCGTTCTTCTCTCTGCCAGCTGTCCCCAGCCCCCTCCGTGCCTCCCTTCTCTCCCCCAGCTTCCACTCACCCTGGGCTCCACCACCTCGTAGCCTGTAGCCTTGTCATGCGGCTTCCCCCAGCCTTCTCCATGTCACAGTATTTCACGTCCTCCATATTCATTTGTTGAAATTTTCCAAGAGAGAGACCATCTGACTCTCTCAGCTTGTCTTTGTTACTCGGGTCAAGGCCTGTACTGCTGGTCAGCCTGAACGAGATGCCCTCTGCTGCTCTCGTGGGCTGTGACTGCAGGTGGGGGCCCAGTCAGCTGATTCAAAGCTGCCTGCCCAGAGCTGCACCCTGAGCAGGGACTAGGTCCCCTAGCTTCTGTCAAGGAGGCTGGAGGCAGGACAGTAAGTAGACTCAATGTACCGTCTACACTATTGTTATTGCCAGGAGGAAGATGGGCTGGACTGGTTTCCTTTGACCTCAAGAAGTGGAGTTGAGTAGAAAGTTCCTCCATGGTAGAAAGTAGGTGGGGACAGATTTTGGGGTCTACAGTATAGAGAGGAAGAAGTCTCTCTATCCTTATGCTTTTGGATGGGCTCCACTGTCCTTGGAGGCAGCTAGGGGTTGGCAGAGTGGTCAAGGCAGCAGAGTCCTCAGTGGCTAGTGGTGGCCAATTCTCAAAAGCCACCCCATCAGGGACCACAGCCTTGTCCCAGTCCTGGGGTTTCTCCCATATGGCCATGCCCAGCAGGAGGGACAGGCAGGTCACACAGTCACCTGGTGCATTCTCACTGGCCATGGCCAGGTCAGCAGGGGATGCAGTGGTCGCAGCCTACTCCCCACGAGCACCCCTTCTTCCCTGTCCCTCCCTGCACCCTCTGACGTGTTGTCCTGCTAGTTTTCCTCAGCGTTCCCCTAAACTCTCCCAAGCCACACCTCGCTTTCCCCTGAC